GGAGAAAGGTAAATTTAACAGGTGGTTGAATCGTGATTTCAATTCAACTGTACAGACACTTTCTCTAAGGCACAAGACACGGCATCGTGCATCGTGTCCAATCAGTGATTGCTGTGCCCAACTCCCAGAATAGCAACCCGCCTTTTCTTCACATCGGCAACCAGCTTTCCAAGTGCAGGTAATGTGAATTTCTATCCTTGCTCATCAGGATCTCCTATCAGGACCAAGACTCTCTCTGGTTCCTAGGCCATGGGGAACATCAGAACCTTAACGAATTCGTTGCTATTGAACTGCTCCTCTTCCTATTGTCAATTCTCTCCAGGGGTTGATCCTGGTCTCAAGTCTCCATCCCAACCCATGCTCACCTTTCACATCTTCACTAACGGCCAGCAAGGAAGCTGTTCAATCGAAGAATTGAGGCTCCCCAACTGCCCCTGAAAGACAGAAGGGCAAAGGGAACCGCTTGAAGAGAATCTGAGTACTACAGAGGTAACTACGGTCTGGAGATGACCTAATTCTCAGTATTCGTTGCCGGTCTATATAACCATCTGCTTCACCCTCTCAATCCACTCCATCTGGCCAGTCCAAGACATCTGCCCTCTATGAGGCACAGCGACAGAACCCTGGTCGACACCCAGAAATACACACACCGACAGTAAACAAATATCCTGCATGTGAATCTATCAGCTATGTGAAGCTGCCTGCTGCGCTGCAGTGAGGACAGCGCCGGCATATCACGACCGAACCTTAAACTTCTTCCCTGCACAAGGAGCTCCGGAAGCAGGGTCGTCGAAGAGAAGGGAAACAACAAAACGAGTGTCACATCCTTCATCGAACTGCCCACAGACCCCTACATGACGCCGCGTCGCATACAAGACCCCTACACGACGTCACGTCGAGGCTTATGGACAAACAGAAGAGCTCAGAGAGACCCAAAATGTCTGAGCACAACCTTACCCAACAACTAACAAAGGCAAGGCGCCTCCTGCGTTGTTTGCCTGACTGATCCACTGACGAGTTACGGCTGCAAGCCGAATCGCCAAAAGCGCCGATGACGACGTCAACATGATCATCGCACATCAGATCGGCTTGCAGCACTCAGAGAACGATTCTAGAGATCTGCTTGCGGTGTCAAAAGACAACCGTCCAATCCATTCCCAAGTTGCAAATCACCAAAATCACTGATGATGTCAACATCATCACGCAGCTGATGTGCTAGCAATTCTTAGAGCAAGCAAGATTTTAGGGGTCCACTAATGTCCGAAGACCCCCCTCCAATCCATGTCCATTACCGTGTAACACATTTTTACCTTAGTCCTTCCAATTTAAGAATGACCACCCCCCTCCCCATCCACCCCCTCCTCCCCCCTCTCCCCCTTTGTCCCTTCAAACGAGGACAAGCGCATTACTGCTTACTGCACTTGCCACCTATAATTCCTGTCACCATGCCATAGGAAGCTGGGAGAGAACGGAGCAAGCATCCATCTGCAATATGGCTAAGTAGTTTCCAACTCAAACCTCGAACTGGCACAGCTTTGGGAAGTTTGGGATGGACGATTGCTTCACTCTGCTGAAGCATTGGTTCCTGTTTCTGCGACAGTGCACTGCCACAGAGCTGTGGGTAGCAGAAGATCAGGGCTGCATACAGCAGAGGTTGCACCCACAGTTGAGTGTCTCGCGACACAGAAAGCGAGCGGGTAGGTAGGGTGGGCGGGGAGGGGGTGGCGGGGAGGGAGGTGGTAAGCACGCTCAGACGTGTTAAAAATAGACCTGGCAAAAGAAGACCCGAGGAGAGGTAACAAGGGAAAGGTGACAAACCCGCAACACTGTCGTTTGCCAGTTGTTGAAGCTGCTATTTTGCAACGCACTGAGATTCTGAAAATGGCGCACCTAAACACAGGACGATGTAGAGCCGCTCCTCCTGCCGATCCAGCACCGGCACACACCACAACCAATGTGGCGATATAGCTCAATGCTCTTGTCTGTGTTGTTGCTGTAGCTGCTGCTGCTGGTGCTGTGGTAGGAGTTGTTGTCTGTCTTCCTTTATTGCAATCGGGCGCCCTTTGAAAACAACGTTCTGAGCCAATCCCAACTTCACAATGGAACAAGTCAAAAAACGAGCATCACAAAGCTGTCAGCCCCACAATCTGCACCAAGGCTCATTGCCTGGACTGAATCACAAGATAACGACACAGACCTGCCGTGTTCCGTTCCTCTCGGAGATAGGGCACAAGCCCACAATCTGCACCAAGGCACATTACAACCGCATTCATCCTCGATTCCATCAAACTATTCAAGGCCCAAAGTTTCAAACTCCTCATCTATTTACTGGCAGTGACATGCGTCTGGCATTCAGTCACACGAGGTGGACGGAGTGTGACACTTGGCACTACCCTACCGGACAGTTTTTTAATCCCTTCGGATAATTTTGGATAGTGTTGAAGTTTACTCTTAGCCCTAGGGCATGTATCTACACGTAACTGTCCAGCCCCCCCTCCCCCTCCCAACTCCCCACACCCCCCTTTCCTCAACCTCCTCACATTTAGTGGGTTTGAGGGACCCGTGTGAGTATGCACTGAGTCAACATTCGGCACACATCCATTCCCAACCCAAACCACTTTCTGATTAGAAATTCATAAATGCAAATTTCTTGAAAGCAGAACGCTTGCCAACGATGCCTGCCTGGTATCTGATCGACTGAATCACCTTTGCCCTGGGAAAGCCTCTTGACCTGGTGGAGCACGTCTCAGAAAAAAAAAGGAATCACCTTTGCCATGGGAAAGCTTCTCGACCCGGCCGTCGATGTGATCCCCTCCGCAAGTTGGGGGTAAAGGATACCAAATTAGCATGGTAACCGCCTGGACGTCCGGACCGGGTTCCAGACAGTCCGGTGTCCGGTCCCCATGTCCGGATGGAGGCCCCTGGGGCAAAAAAAAAAAAACAAACAGGGCCAGCCCAGAACGTTTGTTGAATCCTAGCCGACCCTCGAAAAATAACGGGCTGATTTTTAAGTGTCCTTTCACCCCACTCCCCTCAGAACGTTTGTTGAATCCTAGCCGACCCTCGAAAAATAACGGGCTGATTTTTAAGTGTCCTTTCACCCCACCGGACATGGCCTAGAGGTCCAGACACAAGACACTGCAGGTTTTTGAGGTGGCGGGTTTCGCACAGGCCCGAGCAATTTCAAAGCGGCTGTTTNGAGAGAGAGAGAGAGAGAGAGAGAGAGAGAGAGAGAGAGAGAGAGAGAGAGAGAGAGAGAGAGAGAGAGAGAGAGAGAGAGAGAGAGAGCACCGACAGTGCTACCAGTCTGAAGACTCGACGTTCTGAATTGAACTGCAAAGTTCGAACTTTTAAGTTATATATGAAGTTATGAACTTAAATTACTAAAATCCAAACTTTCCAAAGTTCAAAGTTCAAAGTTAATCATACTTTTTTCAAGAAAAAAATTCTCTGTTTCTCTCGCCTTGTCCCTGCTTTGCACTGTTTGCAAATCTGCATGTCTGCTGGTTAAATGTGCTGGTTGATTTGCTGCAAGACACGTGCTCTGCTGCCTGAACTACAGAGTGCAAAGCAGGTAAGTGCCTGTCAACACCCCCACCCAACTACCATTGCCTGCTATCATTGCCTGCTATCACAGAAAACTTACATCCTGCAGAGACCCTACACAATTTATGACAGTGCGACAAAGACAGCAAAAATGACAACAAAAAAATACAAAAAGACACTGCTTGGTCCTTTCCATAACAGCAAAAGGAGGTACTACCTTCGTCGCCCAAATATAACGTACGCTCATCATTGCTGTATTTGGACGGAAAGATACCCCAAATACAGCTATAATGACTGTGCGTTGTATTTGGATGAAGAAGGTAGCATTGCCTATTATCACAGAAAGTTTACATCCTGCAGAGACTCTACAAGACAAGCACAGCAAAAAAGAGTGTGAATTTGAGGAATGGAGAGTAGCAAGGGCCATCCTGCAGAGACTCCACACAAATTATGACAGCGCACCAAGCACAGCAAAAAAGGGTGAGAATTTGAGGAATGGAGAGTAGCAAGGGCTGTGGTGTTTACCGCATTAGTCGCTTCCATGCAATTAGAAAAGCGTACAGTTCCACGACCCTGCATCGGATATTGCCACCAAGACCACACAAACAGGGAGGCACCACAAAACGTTTTCAGATCCTGGGCATTGATATCTAAGGAGAAAAAGGAAACAAGCTGTCGGAAAACGAAGACGATTGTGAGCAAACAAGAAAAGGACAAGCCATGCAGCCCAAGCTTAAGAAAATGAGCCATGCAGCCCATAGGGTGAATAGTACAGCCTTGCAACAGTTGATGAACAGATCATGGGTTCAAAACTTCAAACACAGACGGAATTGAATCGATACAATAAAGAGTCTACCGCCTTCAGAAACGGACAAGGAGGAGAAAAGAAAGAAGACAAGCCGTTTAAAACGACAGAGAGACTGTGGACGTTGAACTATGGACCCATCTCAATCCCGGTTCGGAAGTACCAAGTTTGCTAGTCGCAGCTAGACGAAGCAACGTCCAAAACCCAACGTTAATTGACGCCAATCGTGGAAACGAAGCGTTTGCAAGCACAGTGACATTCGCTCGTTATCGCTTATGGATCGTAGCCATAGATAATACTGATGGAAAACGCAAGAGATGGCATCTTAACGACTGACCACATTTTTCCAGAAGTCTTTTTTGTCTTCTGTAATTAATATCATGTGGTCCGATGGACTGCAGATCAGGTAGTCAACCGATCAGATCAGATACTACACTTGATCTTAGCCAAAAGGGCGTGCTGCACAATTCTTGCCCCGTGGGATATTCAAACATGAAACAGCATGTCAATCACATCTGCTCCATCTTGCCATTTATTTTTTTGGAACAAACAGTCTTTAGGAGTCGTTCCACCGCTCACCAAAGACGCAAAATTTGAATGCATCTCCTGCTAGGATATGGACGTATGCACAAACTATATTTTTGTCCTAGTCACATCTGGTGATTGCTGCGGCGAGGCCCTTTGCAAAAAAGGGCTGCCTTTCTTGACCTTGTTGCTTTTCCTTGTTTCCATCCATCTCAAACCGCTCTCTGAAATCGTCGATGCAACAGTCAGCGCCCATGCGATACTGAATGCTGATCAAGCGATAACATTCCAAAACTTTCACTGAAGTAGCTCTGATGCTTCAGTGAACTTTCATCCATGTCAAAGTGCTCTCTTTAAACGTCAATGCAACAGTCAGCACCCATGCAATATCGAATGCTGGCCAAGCGATACCGTTCCAAAAACTTTCACTGAAGTTGCTCCGACTCTTTGATGAACTTTCATCCATGCCAAAGCGCTCCTCTCTTTAAACGTCGATGCAACAGTCAGCACCCATGCAATATAAAATGCTGATCAAGCGCTACCTTGACAAATTGACAGCCCATCAAGATATCAACTAAGGTAGCCAGTGGGCATATCGACCCTTCCAATATGCCAACATAAAGGACATTACCTGGACCCCAAACAAGCCCCACTTGGAACCCCGGCACAGTAACTCACCTTGGAAAGCCCTCTCTCATCCGTGAGGATCTCGGCTCGAATCACTGTGCCGAACTGCTTGAAGAAGTCCTTCAAATCCTGCCAGGCATGGTAGAAAAAAGATGGTAAGAGGTTTGATTACTTGTGCGTTTTCTTTCGCCTTTTCACTTCTTAGGAAGTAATAAAAGGACTTGTTGAGGAGCACAAAGTGTGCAGTGCACAAAAACAAACAAACAAACAAAGAAAAACTGAATTGCTAGCTATGATGGATACACATTTCTTCTGTTCAAAGCCAGATGTGTTGGTCCGAGTCTAAAATGATTCTACACCTTACACTGTGCTTCTGCGCCTACCTACACAGCACAGGTCGTCAGCAATAAGATCACGATCCCAGGCCAGCAGGGGCAGCGATGATGAAAATGGCTCCTTCTTTAGTTGGGCCCAGGATTCCCAGGATGCCCGTATCTTGGAGATAGACTTAAAAAAAAGGTGATATAATAGATATATCATATATTTGCAATGACCCAAACCGTATGCCTCGTGCAATGTCTGAGGGCCTCGCCAGGCCGCACTCAGACCCAGGCCAAAAAAAAGGGGAAAAGAACCCCACATCATAACTCAGGGCCTGGACGAAATACAGTTGACTAAAGTCAACTGTCGGGACCCAACAGTCGAAGTCCAAAGGGGACCGAGCCCAGGCCGCCGGTCAGACGCACACACTTGTTTGTATGCAGGTACCCAGACAGCATCAGGACCAAGGGGAAATCTGCAACTGTACACAATCCGGGCCCTCGGCTGCGAGTCAATCTGTATGACTGTGGGGAGGGGACCCGAGGCCAGACTGCCTCGTCAAACACTACAAAAGCGCAGGTCTCGAGGTGGTCAACATTCATTCTTGCTATGCTGCTTCGACGCTGGCTTGACTCTGGCTGGACGCTGGCATTGACGCTGGCTCGACGCTGGCTGGGCGCAGGCACTGTGGACGACGACAAGGGACTGTGGCAGCATGCTGGCGCTTTGTGTTCTGTGCGCCGGGCATTGCTGATGTGGTGCTGCCCCCTGTCCATCTTGCTGATGCGGCGCTGCCACCTGTCTGCATTGCTGATGTGGAGCTGCCATCTGTCATCATTGCTGATGTGGCACATGCCACTTGTCGACACTGCTGAGGTGGCACTGCCACCTTTCTTCATTGTTGATGTGGCGCAAGCCACCGGTCTCTACTGCTGACGTGGCACTGGCCACACTTTCTACATGAGGTGACTGGTTGCGACAAGCAGTAAGATCGGGATCTGTGGATGAGTGAGGAACGGGATACTTACCTGAGGTTGATGTCGATATGGTTCGCTCCTGATTGTCTTCATTGTCTCCATGGGAGAATAGTGCCACGTGGCACTTCTGTGTGATCAGGACTGGTCAGGCTCGTTACTGGATACTGATTGGTGACGTGGAGGCGAGGGGAAGCCCAGAGAAGGAGTGGGAATGTTGGGCTATTCTCTTGAATGGTCACCGATTCTCTCCCACCTTCTGAATTGTCTATTCCCCCTCTCTTCGTCTATTGGTAACCAGACATTGTATCGGATATCAGTTTCACGATTATTGGGGACATTGTCCAAATCCGTGTTGACTAGTACTTCAACATCTGACGAGTATCTACCAGTCTGGGTTCATAACATATTAAGAATTTTTAATTTATGATACATTACATACTATGAAGCATCATACATTACATTTTGGGCCTCGCTCCACTGGTCAACACTCTACATGCACTTGGACGCCTTTCTAGACCAGGTGCATGTGTTGGAGTCCCGCATTTGGAATGTATCGGGATGATCATGACCTTAAGATGGATCTGGCGCGTTGCGAGGCTGATTGTCAAACAGAACTGTATCGAGAAAGAACAGAGAGTCATCAAAAATTCATGCGGCAAACAGTCCCCTTAATTTTGTTTTTTTTACCGGTCCCATAACTTTTATTTTTCAGCTGAAGGTACGAGAATTAGCATAAGGTGGTCTGGCAAACAGATGCCAATATAGCTTTTCAATATGCGATTTCAGGCAGTCTGCCATACTGGCTACATGCCTCGACCCAATGACGCATATGCAAATTCACGCAGCGTCCGTGATGACATGGACCATGGGGACTCTTAGCGAAGAGCACCGTGCAAAATTCTAATTGCCGATGCTAGCTAAGCACCCAAGGCTAGGCTCATTTTCATAGAGAACTGCCTTGTGAACGAGCACATAAAGGAGAAACAGAGGACAAATGAGGGGCTGTGACATGCTTTCTTTGGAGTTTCACACCGACTCATCCGGATGCAAACTATATATTTGCCATATTATTTTCACATTACGACGGACCAGAAAGGCCCATCACTTTGAGCGGCCACTGATGCTTTATCTTCGGAACAAGGTTACACACGCGTATGCTGTTTCGGAGAAGGGTTTGAGACACGTTCCTCCACACAATCTAGATCTTCACCGCCAAGTAGACCTGGCAGCAGTAAGAGGAAGAAGACAAATTAAATGCTAGACGATCCTTGCGCGGGAGATTTGGGAACACTTCGAATTGCTCCAAGAACGAGACCAATTCCGCCAACTTGACCACGCGATTCGCAGCAAGTAGTGGGTGACGGCAAACACACATCCACACCTTGGTGCGGTAGGATGAGAGAGCTGGTAGACAGGGCAGAACAGGACGGTCCCAAGCAAACACATTCATCCACAACACACACACACGAGTCTGTGACAAGTCCGATAAAATAGTCCGGACAGTCATGCCTTCGTTTGCAGAGTTGTGTATAGCGAACATGACAACACCACACACACACACACACACACACACACACACACACACACACACACACACACACACACACACACACAGACAGAGTGAGATGAGGGCGGCGGGGGGAATGCACAGCGGGGGGAGGGCATGCAAAAAAGGGGGTAGAGGTCAGAGAGTGGGTGGAGACATATGACCCTTTCACATACCTGCCATGTGGCACTGTAAGGCAGGTTGCTTACATACAGCTGACATGACGTGCACATTTGCCCTGTGAAGCCAGGAACTGCGAGCACCCCTCCTCCAACCCCACCCACTCCCAGTCCAAGTGGCATGCCACCGACAGCTCCTGGCATAAGTGGGTTCATAGCTGCAAGTGGTGCCATTGCCGGACCCGTCATCATCGGCATTGCTGCTGCTGCTGTCACTTCCTGCATCGCCCTAACCTGGGGCATTGCCATGCGACCCATTCCTTGTGCCTGCAGCTGTGCAATCTGCACCATTTGTGCTGGGTGGGCAGCTCCCAGGGACAGCCCTGGATAAGCCATTCCCGCAGTACCAAGCCCACCAATTCCTGCAACGAGTGCAAAATAAAAATCAGCTTTTCCGTGACCACCAAACACCGCCCACAACAGTCTTCCCTTTCCAGAAAAGAGCAAAAGCACAAGTGCGGAAAAAACTCGCGAATTCCGACCTGACCTCGAATTCTAACCTCAAATGCCGACCCCGAATTCCGACCCCCAATTCTGACCTTGAATCCCGGCCTTGAATCCCGACCTCGAATCCCAACCTCTCATGTCCAGACTTAAGGCATTGGGGTGACGGGTGGACTTCAGTGGGCAATCAAAAGTTTCCGACTGCGACCGGCACAGTAAGATGGACACCATCGAACCGTCCAAGAAAAACCAGCAACAGCTAAACGAAGGAACGGAAACAAGAGAGGTCCACTCGCAGCTAACGCGGACTCTGGCGAGAGAAAATCACTCCAACATTGTCGACTAACCACCCTCCGACTGAACCATCATTAACAAAACAAGTCATCTAACAGACTGCATTTTGAACAGACAAAACCTTAAACAATGGTATACGAAACAGAGGCACTGAACATTGCCGTAAATACAGCTGGAATGACCATCATTTCTGCTCCCAGGAAGATAGGGTAGTGCCTCGGATCGAAGATCGTTGTCGGTTGCATGCATCCCTATGCCACAAAATCACTGTTCTGTGGACCTCTTTGGGCAGTACACGCTGCTCCAAATCATTTGAATAAAAGAGAGGGAAGACGACGGCTTAGCAGTGCAACATGAATAGGCATTTTGGGACATCAATGTCCATGTTATGCTTTAGGAAATCAATCTCAATAAGCATTGCGGAAAAAATCAATGTCTATGTTATTATGCTTAACAAGCTTTCTACCAAAAGAACAATAAATTAACAGATCTTTCTTGAAAGTTTTTCTCAAGTTACGACGATAGGGGCAAAAAGAGTTTGAAGAAATGGTCATAGTTATCCCAGTGCATGCACTTCGAAGCATCACAACATTTTTTGAACGGAACTCGGTAAAGATTGTGGACACTAACAGCTGCAACTACCATCATCACCCGAATAGAATGCCCAGTCCTTATAACCGTATTTGGTGCAGCTTTCAGACTTGATACAGCTATAATGACCAGGCGATCTATATGTGTGAAGACGGCCAACAGGCGAGCCCGTTGAATTGGCTCCAGCCATGGTAACTACAATAGAACCCAAAGTGCCGAGAACGCAATGTGCATCCAGACTGGAATGCTGGGGAAAATAATTCAAAATATATATATATATATCGTCAAATATATATATATATATATCGTCAAATAGAACTGCCCGGTAAACCGTAGGCAGAGAGGGAGAAGAGGACAACAAACGAGGGGCTGTGACAAACTGTTTCGTCGGAGTTTCACCGACTCATCAGGAGGCTGAACCCATATATATATATATATATATCACCTTCCGTAGCCCACGTAATGAACTCGATCTTCTCAGCTTCGTTCCTCCAACTGTATTAACTTCCTCGTCTCTCATACTTCAAAACACGATATACAAAATATATATACATCGTCAAACAGTATGTATACATATATGATATGCTCATGGTCATGGCGCTTAATCATGCAGTTTGGACTTTGAAATACAAGAAGCACAACAAACCTCGCTCCACTGCGCGACTTTCAGAATGTATCTGGACCTAACGTTCTTCTTTGTCATTCAGAATCTCCTGTATGTGTGAATGTATTTGATCCCCCTATCAGGCACATACATAGTTGAACCTTCAAATGAACGACCGCAAAAAACAAGCTCAAACAAACCTCCTCTGGAACCACCTAGCCTGTCCTTCAAACAAGGCAGGCACCTCGGACACCCGAACAAATACTATGCCCACCAACGTACTAATAGGTCTCTGGACTGTCAATACGATCCACATCCCTAAAAGAGAAGGGGCCAAGCGTCATGCGTTTGCTATACTCATCCTGGGCCTCGACCCTCTAACAGCATTTTGTTAAGCACTGAAATCAAAATGATACCAGTGCTCCTGATGCGGAACCAGCAGAAGGCCATAACCTCAACTTAGGCCGTACTCACACTAGCACCATCGTAAATGTATCTCACCGCATTTACAGCCAGACTTGGATGTATCTGATCGCAATTACGTCGAAAAACAAGTAAAAAAGTCCTTCTGTGAGTACACCCTTAGAGTGCTGTAAGTGGCTCATTGTCAGTCTGGTAATTTTGGTTGGGCAGGCGGAAAGCTTCAAAAACCTGCACAGAAATTTTGGGAAACAGTTGCATGCTTATGTAGTTGCAAAAATGAACACCAGAGTGCAGACCCTGGTCGGTCACACTGGTTATAAGAAGAAAGAACCATAAGGGAAGTGGATGAGAACAAAAAGCCCAGACAGAGAGAAGAAGAGACAGAGAGAAGAAGTGGACCCAGTGATAGGGAGAGTGGGAGAAGATCTACCCGAAGAATTAGACACCCCCCACCCCCCAACAACATTCCGCAACAAGTGACGGAAAGGGCCACGAACAAAACACACACCCACCTCCAAGCCCACCTCCATATCCCCCCATGGGTCCAGAAGCTGCCGCCATATTCGCCATGGCCATCATATTTGCTGGGTTGCTGAACCCACAAGCACCGCCCATTATCCCCAATCCTCCAACCGCCCTGCCCATCCGTCAAAGCCCATCCATCCAATGGAACGATTGCGGTACACCAGACAAAGCTTCAACAACCGACGAGGTCCGTCCAAACCACCAACGCTCCCGCCATCACCACCGGCCCATCCATGCCATCAAACCGAAGCCAATCCAACAATCAAACAACAGAAAGCATACCAAATGCCATCAGATCAAAGTCCAGAGTAAAACAGAAAGAACACATGAGCACATTTTCTCAACCCACAGGGATAACAAACTCATGCTTCACATGGGGTAGGACAACAAAGCAACATGGTGACCACATCTTCCCAACAATCTCTCTCCATCTCTCCTCGTCTTTCACCACATTCAGTCTGAACTGACCTACTGTTTCACTGAATGCGTACGCATGTCTGGAGATTGTACGCTGACGACAAACATAAGCATATACTTTCTCATCCGTCGAGTGACGTGGCACTTGAGATCGCGAACGATAGAGAAGGGAATTGTCGTGATCTTTCCCACGCATCAACCTGCCTTTGTCCATCACCCACACTTTATTTCACTTCCCGAGCAAGCAAGACATTTTTGTCCCCTCAGAAGCCCAGCTTGTCAAACAACTGCAGGGCAGATGTGTTCCAACTTCCAAGTTGTGACCCCTCGTTCTTTTCTTGTCCTGATTTGGTTGACTAGAAACGATATAAGATGATATTATGATAATATACACACACGATGATACGAGCATCAAAAATAACATTTTCCACCTATAACCCCAAGCCCTCTGTCTCTCTCTCTCTCAGGGGGACACAAAGATAGGTGCAGCAGGTGATATGCATCAGACAGAGAGGGGACAGAAAAGGAATAGGATGGGGGGGGGGGGGGGGGGGGGGCCAAGGCCGACATTAGGAGGTGGCTGCAGGGCATTGCTTTGTTTCGTCAGGTTTGGCAGAGGCTGGAGGCTACGGGCACAGTTCAAAAGTGCCACATGGACCTATATCAAAAGTGGTGTTTACAAACTAACTTTCCAGTCCGATACAGTCAAAATGAGGGTGCATAAGAAAAGTGTGAAGCACACATCAACATCTTTTGTGATGCCGTGAACGCTTGACCATTTGTTAGCGCACATGCGTGTGCAGCATGCATGATGCAACACCTGTCGACATTTCCCTGCGCGTACCCCACACACGTAGGGCAAAATACAAGGCCACTCGACACTGCCCCTCCCAGCACACCTCCCTTCCCCTCCTCAGACTCAAAGTTGTCATTCACAAAATATTTCAGACAACGTAACGTCTGTACAAACGTTTTTAGTCATGCAAGTTGATGCAAATACACAACAGGTCATCTTAGCTGTAGCAGAACCACCGCCAAAGGTCAGCACGAGGTTGAGACGAGGTGGCAAGCAGGGGATTCTCTGCCTTCTTTTTCAAAAGTATGGGCCCTTCAGGATTGGTAAGAGTTGGTACTCATGGACTGTTTGCAACAGTTGTCGGTCTGTATCATTCAGCCACTGTGCAGAAGCAGAGAGAGATCTAGGCTTACGTTCATTACATCTGGCTCTTTCAATGACCTTCCGGGCATTTAGCTTACATCCTACAATTGTTACGACTGATGTGAGCACCTGCCGATAATCACAGTACGAATGTGCCGTCTATCCATAGATAACAGTTGGCAGCAGTGCTGGGCCGGCAACCAGCCGGTTGAGCTACCCCAGTCCAACCGGAGCCGGACCAGACCAGGGGGGGTGAACCAGGAAACCGGTTTTGAAAAATAAGTGCCCAAATATCTTTTTTTTTTTTTGGGGGGGGCAGATTCCGACTGCGCTCTTCAAGAGCTGTCCGAATCCGCAATAAAATTTTAAGGTACAACATTTTTCAGGGGGCTTCCAGAGGGGGGCAGGGGGTTATCATTCACATATTCAGGCAACTACGGCTTCCTCAGGGAGGGGTCAAGTAAGCAAGTTCACTTATCCGACCCCCCCGTCGCTGGAGCACTTCGTGGAGTATGTCATTTGATATTGATACCCCACGAGCTGAAGCAGATATGATGAGAGGAGGTCCTTGCCCGAAATTATAGCTCTTCCAGAGTATAT